GGGGGGGGGGGGGGGGGGGGGGTCAGGCCAACGTTACGTAATTCAAAAGAAGGAGATTTAGGGCTGCGTTAAGGGTCCGTTACAAGGGAGGAGGGGGTAAAAAACTCTGGAAAAGTGCGGTGCGTAACACTTGAACAGCCTCAAACATTATGTGAGATATTAATTCCACGATTTGTTTTTCCCGTCAATACTGCTGTCAGAATTCATCATACTTTTTTTTGTTGCTTAGTTATCACTTTTATGTGTGTTTGTCTCTTTGAAAATTCGGGGTAATTTGTGTGCTGATTTCTTGTTGTGTTTATTTTTTCAGTGATAACGACATACCGCGAACCAGTTAGAGGATGGATCGACAACTTGTACGGTCCGGTGGGTCTGATAGTGGGTGCAGGAACGGGTGTCTTGCACACATACCACGCCACCCCCGAGCTGGTCACCGATATGGTCCCTGTAGACTTGACTGTCAATTCTCTCATTGCTACGGCTTGGCAAACTGGAAAAATCGCCAAGTGAGTACATATTAGCCCTAATCTAAATATATTTGTTCAGATTGGACCGCGTTTAGCAGAAAGGAGCCAAGACACATCAGCTACTGCCAAATTGAACTGAGCACTTTAATTTTTTACAAAAGAATTTCATGGCGATATGTATGAAATTTTAAAGGGACTTGCTTCGCGCCATGCAGAAAATTCACCGAAATTTACACACAAAAAAATACGCAAAACCATTCATGTATAAAATTAAACCGTCCAATTAAATTCGGCAATGACTGGTGTGGCTTGGTTCCTTTGGATTTAACGCGGTCCAATTAATGAACGAACATTGGTAGAAAGACATAAATATTGGTGACAAATCATAATGCTGTAAAATATTTTACAGAGAAGCAGCGAGGTGACGAACCGGTCATGTTCGTATTCTCAACTAGAAGATCCTCCTTCAAATTCTGCGCAGGCAACATGACTTACACGCAGACATGACCTCGCTTTGATTCCGTAGGAAAAAGTGTGACCCATTCGCTAACGGTCCTCAACCCAGGAGTTCTATCGCGGAAACTTTTTTTTTGCTTGCAATAGTTGCTATCTTCTATGGTTCTATTAGAGTTGGTTCCAGTTATCAAAGGGATTGGAACGCATCCGTCAATCAGATGGGCTGCTTTTATCAGCAACACCATAACTACGTTCCAAATACCCCACATTTAGCTGTCATTTTATTTATTCAGCAGAAAATTAAGCAACAATTTAAAGAGTATATGCTCGTCAATCGATGGAAGAATTCACAAAATGTTTCAAGACGTTCAGAGTATCAGTACAAGCATATTTGTTTTTACTAAAGTCGCTGTGTTTTCTTGCAATGCCAATAGGGAACAGAAGTCGCTTTCAATCTACAACTATGTTTCCTCTGCACAAAATCCGATCGTATGGTCAGACTTCATCAGACTGAACCACAAGATGGGCATCCATTGGCCAACCATCCGTGCTGTTTGGTACTATTCATTCTACCCGTTCAACAATAAATTCCTCTTCATGTTAGCTACTCTCTTCTTCCACACTATCCCCGGAATGATTCTGGATGCGCTTGCGAAATTAGCCGGTCAAAAGCCAATGTAAGTACCTATTTCAAATTTTCACTCATTTAACTTTAAGCACATAGGAAGGGCAAAAAATGAAAATAGACTACACGGACAATGCACGTTTTTTCGTACCTTTATTGTAAATTCAACTATTTTTGACTCACGTCATATTTGGGCTAGCGCACAAGTATTTTAATAGAAATCATTTTTTGAAATGTTTTAGATGTAACACGTTATTTTATAAACTTCACAAATGTTATACCATTTATGTTTGGCTAAAAGTGTTCATTCGTATTATTTTGTAGAAAGCTCTCCACAAAAATATCATACAAAAGCATTCGTTGTTCTTCATTGGCTGTGTTAGATTCAAGTTTTTTTTAAACTTCTCTTACTCAAAATTCTCAAAACACTTTTATATATTTATACAAGAAAACAAACACGCACACGCCCTTTTTAGCCGACTCAGCCTATTTGTGGATTGGTAGTTTCGCACGAAATGATAAAGTTGACCACTTTCATTTGTCTTTAATAGGCGAGTTATGGACAATTTTTTTTAACACGGTCTAAATTGAGCGTAACCTTCTTTTCATTTTTCTTTACAGGTTAGGAAAAATTTACGATCGATTAGCGAAAGTCGAGGACACTCTAGAGTACTTCTCAAACAAAGAATGGACCTTCCATAACAACAACGTGCAGAATCTTTGGAAACAGATGACACCAGAGGACCAGAACATATTCTTCTTCGACATGGCGCAAATGTCTTGGGAATATCACACGGAGGCGCTGTGCCTTGGGATGAGAGTCTATTTACTCAAAGACGATGTAGACACACTGCCGGAGGCTAGAAAGAAATGGAATAGGTAAAATTACTAGAAAAATAACTATAATGATATAAAACTGAGAATTACACAAATAAATTAATCCATATCGTGAGAAGTTGATATGCATGGTATGCCGTCAACGTTATGAAGTTTGAAAATGTTTGCAAGAGGCATTACATTATGACATAAAGTTTTGAAAAACTCTTGAGGAAGATGCATGTAATTATTACCTACGTTCGGGTTTTGAAAAAATTAATTGGCCTCATAATTCACAGATTTCTTTTTTTAATGTTTGGAAAGTAAGATAATGTTTCGTAACGCGAACACAAGTCAAGGCAAATTTTTAGAGCTGGACTTACCTTTTGAGATAAAAACTTTGTCTGCAGCAACCTCGTACATTATTACTACGACATTAGAGTCTCATGATAAATACCAAGTTTCTGTCGAGACCGTACAGCCGTACACTGGATTATGTTCAAGAACAGTTGAATAATGGTGAAAATGGGCTCCAATGACATTACACTACGTTAATTTTCTTGGCAATTCATCCGTCGATAATTTCAGCAGCGGTGAAAAAAGATGCCTTAAAAAAATATATGCATGTGAACATGTCTCTCTGTCACAATAACTTTCGATTTTTAGTCTTATTATTACCCCTCTGATTTTTGATCCAGTTAAATGGTAAAATTTTATCAGTGTTATTCAGCATTCATATTTTAATTCACTTAAATTCTTTATTACAGGTTATACGTTGCACATAACACTTTAAAAGCAGTAGTTGCTGTACTTCTACTACATGTGCTGTGGACTATTTCGTCAACGATTTATCATTACGTGCTTTCTTGAGGACTGGAAGCTACATTTCTCTGTAATTATTACCTCTTATTGAGGTCTCGTCCACCAAACTGAGTGATCGATCACTCATGACGTTCGACCAAAGACGTTTTGATTCAGCAGACAGGGAGCCTTTGACGTACCTTCGTTTTGACGTCATCTGCTACATCAATACGTCAAAAGCAGCGTTGAGACCCTGAAAGAAGAAATTAGGCCCGAAATTATGCATGTAGGCCATGTGAACACTCACACACGAGCTACTACTCCCCTTAAAGGACTTACAAGATTCTAAAATTGTTCTAAGGAATCCGCCTACTTTTATTCCAAGTCTTTTGTGCCCTGACTGCTTTATTTAAATGTCTTCACTTTGAATTTATCCCTCCCAAGTCGGTAATTAGTAATAGGTGACCTTAAATTATTATTGTAAACTATAGAGTACCTTTTAGATCGTAAGATTTTGTAACTACTTAATGAAATGATAAAATGTGCCCACAGTTTCTCAGCCATTTTCCACAGAATTTAATAAATATACACGCGCACAATCAAGCCTGACGTAGAACAACTTAATTGGAATTTGTAATATTTTACAATTTTTTTTCATTGTTTTTAATAAAACTTATCATTCTTGGATGAAGCAGAAACGCCTCTTAATTCAATATTGTGCGCCCTGGCCGTAAATTTCAGTACTTTACTTGTATGTGATCTTTTCAGTAAATACAAACCTAATTTTTATCGTGTATCTTAGTTAATTAAACAAATTAGACTCTAAAAATAAATAAAATGTATTACTTTGTGTAGAAAGTGTTGTTCTCTTTACATTTCATACCTTGAGTCCTTCTACTGATGAGGTAAACTTGAAGTAGACCACCAAATAAGATACGAGAATATGCACCAGAATATTTCTTTCTTCATCAAAACTTTACATAGAAATAATGGACGCATTAAAATACTCTAAATTCAACTAATAAAAGAGAAAACATGCAGGGCCGGACTAAGGGGGTGTCCACATGGGCCGCGGCCCATGGCGGCAAATTTAGGGGGCGGCCAATTGTGCAACTTTTTTAAATGTAGGTATAAAAAAAATCGCATTTAGAAAAAATATTACAAACGAGAAAAGGCGACAAAACCTCTCATTTCCTGAGAGTATAGTAATTTCTAATTTGTCGTTTTTCAGTTATACAAGAGACAGCGCCTGCCTACAATTAATCGACTTAAGAGAGAAACCAAACATGCAATTTGGCCTGGAACGACGTGACTTAGAGAGAAATGATGACTAGGACTTGCGATGAAAAGGAGAAGCCCTCAGCGTAGCGATCGGCATGTAACACATATTAGCGCCTACAAGACTGCACCAATACTTCAAGCATTGCATCAAACACAGTGCGGTCACTGCGGTCAGCGTAAAACGGATAGCGCCTACAAGAATGCATGAATACTTCACGCATTTCGCCAAATACAGTGCGGTCAGCGTGAAACGCATTGCGCCTACAAGGCTGCCGGAATACTTCACGCATTGCGCCAAACACGGTGCGGTCTGCGCGGCGCGGCGACGGAAGTTAAAATCATTAAACCACATTTATATTTGTTCTTTCATAATTTTTTCGTTCATTTCTTATGAATGGAAGGCCTTGTCCACACAGAGATAGGTTTACGAAACTTAAATTTTGCGCGAAGTTCCGTTAACTTTTGCTAGTAGTGTTGACAGGGCTTTCCTAAAAAATGTGTCCAACACGAGTAAACGCGTCTTATGAACCCTTCCCCGCTGGCACGTTCACTTGATGGTTTTTATTGATGTTTCAAAACGAATGAGAAGGGGGCGGCAAGAAGGGAAATCCGGCCCTAAAAAATGGTTTTATACGTATAGAGTAAGTGTAAGAACAATGATCTATGTAGTATAGCGGGACATCCTCGACTGAGCTGAAATATAGTGATTTAGGTTGGAAGTTCTGCAGTGGGAGTGTTGGTCTACAACCCAGCACGACAGGCTCGAAATTTGAGGGAACTGTGACCCAGCCCTGGGGGGGAAAAAATTATGTATTACCTATTATTGTCGTGTGAAAGCGTGTTTGGGCGTTTCATAACTTTTTGAGCATGGCGCATAATTTAAAACTATAGAAATGGCCTCCAGACAAAATGTCGACGGTGAACTTAACTAACTACTGGAATTGCATATCTCGGTTTGCTAAGTTGCAGGTTTCCTGTTTTATAATATTTTATGAAGAACTACTTAACGTCACTCTTTTGAAATTCTGTGAAAACTCCAAGATTTGATGTTGATTTGCTCTCCTTCAAGAAAATAAAAAAAGAGCAGAGATTTTAAAAAACTGCGAATAAGATACGTGGTCAGGGAGTTTCACTGTCAATATGAATTAGAGAAATGCACGCAACATCTTTTCGCGGTGAAATTCCAGAAGTGCAAACGTTTGAAATTCAAAGGATTTGTGCTTTGGTAGTGGTGAAAGAGGGGAATTTTTTGCGAAAATAAGTGTCCTTGCAACTGGAGATACGGAGATAAGAAAAACTACACATCTGTTAGAAATCTGATTGCAATGTATTGATATTTTTAATTACGTGCCTAAGAGATGTCTCTGTATAGTGTAACCTTAGAATTAAAGGCGCTTTGTCATTCTGGATCCTCGCACTGCTGCCCGCCGCCGCACAGTAAATTGAATCAATCAGGGAGGTCGGACATGAAGTTTTTGATTAAAACTGCAAATTTTGATGTTAATTTCTCCACATTTTAATCTTTAAGGGGTGCTTCGAAAAGAGAATTTCGCGCGGAAACCAATAATGGAACCACTTCCGGAACCTCAAATTTTTGTATAAACGGAGTTATAAGCGTTAAAAGTTTCGAAATTTTGTCCGACCTCTCCCTTTGGCTCGATCCACTGTGCGCCGCGCCGCCGCACACTGTGGTATTTGACCGAAAAACCTGGCCAAAACCTCAATTTTAAATTTTTTTTAGCGGAAAACCAATGTGATATTCGAAATCTACACTGTTTTTTACCCTGGTAGACATGTATGTACCATTTTTTGAGTGGCTCAATTTCCCGCGAAGAGACCACGAAGTTACCTATTTCTCAGCGATTATTTTGATATGTTTCGGCGCGCTACTCGTCGATCAGTTTACTTCAACTGTGCGATCATAAGAGGGAAGTTCGGCGATATGCAACACATTCTTAGGGGTATATTCTACACAACTAACCACAGTATTTTCGAAATTTCTTTTTTTCGTGATTTTCACAGGAGGTTGAAAAGTGATGCAAAAGTAAACGTTTTTTTCGAAATTCAGAGGCCGATATCTTTTTTCTCTCAACTGTTCTCAAGCAGTTTGAGGCGGGATGTTATAGTCCGAAGTGGGTATTTTCAGGATTCAGGAATGACAGACTGAGGAAAACTGAGGAAATTGAAATTTTTGACTTTAAAGATGGACTTTTGAGCGATTTTCACAAACATGAAAGGGAAAAATTATGTAGATATTAACGACTGAAATTGTATTTTTTCAACAGCTCTGACCCATTTAGTACCAATTGGGTGATATTCGGTCACGCAACCTGTTTCTTTGGCCCCTACGCCCTCGAAAGAGGGATAAAGAAAAATAATTTGAAAGCGGATGGGAGGGTCACTTTAAAGTCTTGCAAAAATGTTTAATCCGTTATCTAACAATCTCTTCGTGCATCATCCTTGAGTATAGACATATTCATGCCATGATTTACTTTGACAGACAAATTTGAGTCCATGCGGCCCCGGGGATGGGGCTTTAAAAGTGGCCCTCTGACACCATGAAAATGCGCTGTGAGGCACATTTGAAGCCTCGTAATAGTGAGATATGTGGTTTTCTTACGAATTTCGTAGTGAAGTGCCTCACTTTGAGATGTGGACCATGGGTTAAGAAGGAACCCATCAAAATGAATCATTTTCACAGGTGCTTACAATGGTTCTTATTATGATAGAACTCATTTTCATCTCATAATTTATCCTCAAATCATCATATGGAGGTCCCGGCACTTTCATACTAGCACTAATTTTGATTCAAAACTGTCAAAAATCTAATATCTAGAATGGTTCATATTAATTTTTTTGAGAAATGTACAATTACTCCTCAATGTGAGAGATCGGCTGTTCCGTCAACAATTTTGAAGTGACTTACGCTGTTTTAAAAAAAACCATTAATGAGGTTATAGAAAGTCCTTATTCCGAAAAGTAGACCATAGGTGAAGGAGAAAATCGTCTAAATGCACCGCTTTAGTTAGATACTTTGCGTCCTTTTAAAGGCTTTTTGGAGGGCTTCTTGCACCCCCTTTAAACTCTCCGCAAATTTTCATATGATGTGTTAGGTGGTTAAATTGTGCATATTATCACTTAAGAAGAAGTACTGATTGTAAAATATTTTTAAAACTCGGCGATATCTGGTGATAAATAGTTTTGGCCAGCTTTTCAGGTCCAATACCACAGTGTGCGCCGTCGAATCGCGGGAGAGGCGGTGAGTGGAAAGTCAAAACGCCTTCAATCCTGCGCGTATGCAACTCGGACATCCGTAAAGCACGAATAGTCGTATCAGGCGTTATAATGAAATTCGTTCACTGCTCGTCGCATGCGTTAGTAAGAGAGTGTGTTTTCGCTCGTTTCTCATACACGTTGACTTAATTCAAGTGTTGTCTGAAATTTATATGAAGTTACTATCTCTGTTTTTAACTGCCACATTGTTAATACACGAATTCTTTGACTGTTTAAATGCATCACAACATTGCTAATCCTCAAAATCGCAAAAAAGTAGGTATCTGAGCAAGATAGTTGGAATTTCTTTTCATTTGCCTTAACGAGTCAGCCTTTGTTTGGATTTTCTTCTTTCTTTTTGCCTCTTTAACGTTTGGAAAAATACTTCTGACGTTCAAGGGAAAAATTCGAAGCAATCCCTGATATTCCACAATCTATTCCACATTGGTATTATCTCAGTCATGAGAGCAAATTAGGAAAGGGATAAACTTGCTTTCGGAATGACCCTCGTGTTTCTTGAATGCTTGTATGTCTTAAAATAAATTTGTTCCAAAACGTGCTTCAGAAATACATTATTTTTAAAGGTAAAAAATGTCCACCATAGCTTATTGTTCCGCGGAGTGCAAAGCGCTCCAGTTCAGGTAGGGGGGAAAAATAGAGCTTTTATGCGGAGGAGGGTTCTAGAATTTTACCAATGATAAAGCTTACATCTATTTCTCATTAGTATTATCTCAATCATGGGAGCAAATTAGCATGCGGCACCTCTTTCGGAATTCTACCACTGATTCAGATAGGTATACAGTGAGTTCCGTATACCCTGAAACCGCGAAGCGTTCCTGTCTTCGCTGAATTTTGTGATTTCCCCCAAACTTCAGCAGGTAACATAACCAGCTCATTTTGACTAATTGAAAGGGTTATTTGAGGAGGGGTGTAACTGCTATATATCAGTTTTTCAGAATAAATGAAAAAACTAAAGTTGTAATAAAAGGTATTATAAATAATGAAAAATTAAAGGGACCTCCTGGACAAGGCACGAGCTCTAATTATTATTGGTGTCTGTGAAAACTTCTATTTTATGATATGTAGACCATTGGAAAAATTCATTGAAAAATAAAACTTTTAGCGCAAGGTTTAGGCATATATCCACCGCCGTTTTAAAATTACTGCCAGTTATCGTTTTAGATAACCCTTTTGTATATAGGACACCTGCATATGATCGTACTTGCTTCGCCATGATACATTTTCTACGGTAGACCCATGAAAAACTTCTGGTCACGCCACTGACTATGAGGGATGTTGGAACATCGAACACAATTTCGGTGTTACTTTTAGAATACCCAATCTTTTCAAGATAGTGACCTTCAAATGACACTTTTCCGTCAAAGAACCGCCATCTTAGATGATATTAATTACTTCAAAGTACTAACGTCAAATTCGTGTATTTTACTTATTTATTTACTTATTTATTTATTGAGCGCGCTATGCTCTAGCGGGCTCATTTGGAATACGCCAATTCCATTTTCCCTTTTTTGTCCATTTTTTTTTTCCTTTTCATCGATGTATCATGAAGGAGAGTTTGGGATTAGGAAAAAAAAATTCTGTTCATGCCCTCTCAAAGAAGCCTCTTCAACATTGGAGGGAGGCCAAAAAGTTGTTTCTTTTAAATTATAATAATTCGTTTTTCTCCCCGATCTATCTTCAAAAAAAAAAGAATTTTTTTTTTATTTTCCCAAAGATAAATTAAGGTGATTTGTGAAGCTCAAGTGACGTGGTCGAACTAGCATGCGATATATCGCATCGATTAGGTAAAAAATCTCGGCAGATTTTGGATTTTCAGCAAAAAAAGGACCATAGCCCCTGCGCATGAGCCTAGAGGCTCATTCTAAACCCAAAAATTGGCAAAATAGAATAGAAATGAAATACTAGTGATAAAGAATAGTGTTTGGAAAAAACCTCGCATTCGATTTCTAGATCCTCTATTCTCCTTTCATTTCTTTGGATTTTGCCAATTTTTGGGTTCAGAATTAGGCTCATGCGCAGGAGCTATCGTCCTTTTTTTTTTTTGCTAAAAATTCAAAATTTGCCGAGGTTTTGACCTAATCGATCCGATTGATCTTTTCGACCCCTCTATCGTATGCCAGTTCGACCACGTCACTTGAGCTCGACAAATCACCTTAAGTTCAATTCATTATGATGTATCTTCCTATTCAACCCGTTCCCGTTGGAAGGAACACCTTTTTTCATCACTTCTCTTAATTGAGTAATAAAATAATTTTTTTCTCAGGGAAGCATCCATCTTTACCTCGGCCCGGACAAAACAATATTTGAGCTACCGACGTGCCAAGATAACATCATAAACTCCTTAATTTCCTATTATCTGATGCGGGTCGCACTCCAGCGCTTCCTCTCCTCAACCTCCCTCCCAACCTGTGTTGAATGAATCCTTGTAAGACATCATTTGAGAACGTCTTTGATTCGGAGTATCTGTGATTTGTGAACAAGTGCTCTCCAACATTGGCGAGTCTCCCGTAGAACAGTTCTCATTATCTACCTACAAAATGACAAATTGGATCGTCTTTTGGTTACTAGCTTTCTCCAGCTGTACGATAGCCCGCGCAGAGGCGGCGGTGATCAAGGAGCTGGTCGACTTGCTGACCCAAAACCAACACCAAGAACGGCAATTACCCGGTGTGAAACCGAGGTTCGACGCGAAAGCACAAAGGATCGACGTATCAGGCCGACACGCATTCAAGGCGCCCGGCCCGGGGGATCAACGGGGCCCATGCCCAGGACTAAACGCACTCGCCAATCACAACTACCTCCCCCACAGCGGCGTCGCCTCTATCTCCGAATTCATCCTAGCAACCAACCGAGTCTACGGCATGGGCATGGATCTCGCGGCTGCCTTGTGCCTCCTCGGTGGAGTTTTCACAGGGGACGGCGTGAAGTACAGTATAGGAGGGGCCACACCCCTAGTCCCTGCCCCCCTCGGCGGGATCCTCGGCACACCCCAGGGTCTTTCCAACAGCCACAACAGGTACGAGTCAGATTGCTCGGTGACCCGCGGTGACCTGTATCAATACGGCAATGCGTATCGACTCCAGATGTCCCAGTTCAAAGATCTCCTAGCCATGCGTAATGAATCCGGGAATTACAACCTGGAGACAATGGGCGCCTTCCTCGGGAAAAGGTTCTTTCAGTGTATCAACGAAAATCCGTATTTTTTCCACGGTCCTGTTTCAGGTCTCCTCGTCGGGAATGGCGCGTATACGTTCGTTTACAGGTTTATGGGCAACAAGTCCGCTGAGTACCCTGATGGTTTCCTCGATCGTCGGGTGCTCAAGTCGATGTACGCCGTGACGGGCGAGGGAGACAACTTGATTTATCTCCCGGGTCATGAGCGCATACCCGAAAATTGGTACAAACGCGCCATCGGTGACGAATATGGTTTAGCGTATTTCTTAACCGACTTGACGAAAGTGCTCATTAAGTATCCTCATACTATTTCAATGGGTGGAAACACTGGTACCGTTAACTCTTTCTTCGGGATCGAACTGCACAATCTAACGAACGGTGTTTTCAACGGCGCGACCCTTCTGCAAGGTAACAATTTGGCCTGCTTCATTTACCAAGCTTTGCAGAATGCACTTCCCGATGCGGCCAAACCTGTGATAACCTTAGGCTTTACCATTATCTTGGCCCTCCTCAGGCCGCTCACAAGTAGACCTGGCTCTATCGGCTGTCCTCAGTTCTCGCAGTTTAATTCATCGCTGTTTGATATATTTCCGGGATATTCAGAGTACCGGCCGGGTGGGGCCAACGATGCGATACAACAACTCGTTAGATCCCTACACTGAAAAAAAAAATCTCGGTGTATTTACTGAGAAAAGGGTAAAATTACCGAGAATTCAGGGTTCTATTTGATCCCAGTTTTTTCTTGGTAAAATTACCATTTATGGAATTGGTAATTTTACCGAGAAATCTCGGTAAAATTATTGAACTTTCTCGGTAATTTTACTGGACCTTGGTAAAAACGCCGATATTTTTCATCGACTGTGGTAGAATTACCGAGATAAAATGGCAAAGTTACCGGGAATTGATTACCAATAAAAGTGATATTCTTACCTGAAAAAACTATAAAAATACTGGTTTTTAGTTAAGCTTACCAGTCTGTCTCGGTAAAATTACCAATATTTGGTAAAAAAAAGTGAGATGGTAAAGGTACTAACGGACCGTGTCAAAAACGCCGAGAATTTTTTTTCTCAGTGTAGAGTCAAAAGGAGTTATGTATTAGTAAATAAGTGCAGCTGTGATTTTAAAATGCAAATTAGTTTTAAAACTTTTCGCCACAGTACGTAAATAATAGAAAAAATCGTCTGTTTTGTAACCGTGAGATACCTATGAACCTATGTAACCTATGAACTATCGATAAAAGAAGTAAATAAAACGATAAATCAAATGCCGAAAAAAGAAGAATTTGTTTCTCATACGTTGACTAGCTCAAAAATCAGCATGAGTCAAATTTTTATGATTCATTTTTTTTTTGTGGGTCAAAGTTTATTTTAATGCAACTATGAGTCAGTAATGGAGCTGTCACAGATGCGCGCATTGGCATATCCAGCAAATTGGCAACATTGTTTTTGCTCAATCTGAACCAGTGAAAATGTATCGATTCCTCGGATGGGCCAAATGCCTCGACAAGAATCGATTATTCAACACAGGTTTAAATCGAGGAAAGCTGTGTTGCCAAATTGCTGGATCAGCCTCTGGATGCATTTTTCGATGGATTAAAGCTAATAGCTTAGCAATATAATAAGATCGGTCAAAACACCTCGTTCCTATGTTTAATAATGACCGCGAGATATTGCCCTTCGCGTATAACGTCAATCACCCGTGGGAATAAATCCCATTCTGTTTCTTCCACCTTGGATTCATCAATTATAAGGAATACACATATTTGACATGTTTTTTTTTTTTTTTTTTTTTTTTTTTTTTTTTTACTGAAAACACCGATGAAACCAAGGTGAAGGAACCCTTGGTGGGTGACGTCATGCGCTGTGTTTTTTTGAGGGGTGATACCGATGTAAATTTTAGTATAACGGTTCAAACAAGGAAAAACGGATCCGATGAAAAAAAAAAAAATGGACCGCCCATTGAATAGCATTGGTTATCGGTGTGTTGTACTATGGTACATCCGTGTGATTTCAAAAAGCGAGCACTACTGGCACGCTTAAAAAAATATAAAAAAAAAGAGAACACTTTTGGCTTGACCCCATACAATCGTTTATCACAGTTAGGTCCGAAAGAGTAATGTTCAGATAAAAAACACTTTCCTCAGTACTTTAAGTATCCATCCTGATTCTTAACCTAGCATTCTTTTCTGCACGCGAATTTGGCGGTTTTAGGGAAGCCCATTAAATAGTTGCCCTGGTTCTTTATCTTATGTCAGAATTCGTGACAGAACATTTATATGTTAATTAATAGTAAGTATAATTTGGTGACTATTGTTCCGAGGCATGCGGAGAGTATTCAGAATAAATTAAAGTGAAACATTTACCTATCAATGAACAGTATGTATCACTCACTTTATTGCCCATTTAATAACAAATTTGGTTAAAGCAACTCTTTGAAATGACTCTCAAATTTTCACTTTCCCCGACGTTCGAATTTTCTCCGGACTTTCTTCAGTCTATATACTACATCCTATAGAATGGGACCAAACTGAACACCAGCTGCTGTCAGGTAAGTTCCAATTTTTGTTCGTAGCCTCTTGATTGCGATTTTAACACGTCTTCACCATATTTCTAAAATTCACCAACTGGATCTTTGTGCGTTGCGTGATACCGGTTCGAGGTATCAACCGATTTAGGTTTTAAATGTGTCCACTGGTTAGTTATGCATAAACATTTTTTTTCATTTATTTTTTGTTTTGCGTCTATTGCTCGCCGGAATTTTCATAATTATCTCATCCTCGGACGAGAGGCTTGAAGGCCAAGGTGCATGAGTGCGCATGTTTTTGCTATTTAAAGAAATACGTTTTTAAAGTTTCAAAATTATATGGCACCTTATGGCGAAAAGGAACTTTAAACTCACTTTTTGATACTTTAAAGTTGGATTTTAGTTGTGGATTTTTCTTAGAATATACTTTCAAACTAGTTGTAGTTGAGCTCATGAATATCTCACTTTTTTCAGAAACTGCACACCTACCCTGGTAAAAATTGGCAGTAGCATCTGTGTTCCAAAATACCATAGACCTACGGCCGACTGTAAGATTTCCAATAGCTTCTATAGCCGGCAACACAATTTTCTTATAGCCTTTTATAGCCGATGGCGATTAAGCAACAGTCTGACGATAAAGTGTATTATGCTAAACGTTACTAATTACGAATGCTAGGACTTCGTGAGTTTTTGGACTACCGCTCTCTTTTTGGGCCGTGGTATCTTGGTGTATTTTGAGAGGAAAGCTCCGTACTTTTGAAGGATGCCTGCCATTCCTAATATGTTGGAGCGCCTTCAATTTCGTATGATACTGTGAAATACCTCTGGTGTGAAATAGTTGCTTCAAGCGCCGCGGTACGCTACGGCGCGGCGGCCAGGCAGCCAGCGCGAAAAGCGCATTGGCGCCTACAAACCTAACAGGGATACTTCACGCATTGCGCAATGCGTGAAGTATCCCTGCTAGGTTTGTAGGCGCCAGTGCGCCGCCGCTCCGCTTTGTGTTAGGCTCTAATAATTAATCTCGTGGAGTCAGCGTTGTTCAACTCATGACTTAGAAATGTTTGCACACTCTGTATGAATTATTCTCCTTTTAATTGATGAAAACAAATATGTAGTAAAGGAAAATAATATGTGCGTTTTGTAAATATTATGGTGATTCCGTACAAACTTACGGATTTACAAAGCATACGAATTTCTACAAAATTTCTTATAGCCTTTTGTAGCCGATGGCGAAAAAGCAACAGCCAGGCGATAAAGTGAAAAGCCCGGCGATAGGAACTTTATCTCGGCTGTATAATTTTTTATCGCTTCATGTAGCCCGGCCGTATCATTTTTTCCACTTTCTACAGCCAGCTATATGATTTTCTATCGCCTCCTTCAGTCGGCTATAAGAGCACCTATGGTATTTTGAAACGCAGCTCCTATCGCCAATTTTTACCAGGGTACTTTCGTGCCTTGTCCTTCAAGCCCCTCAAGTGTACTCATTTTCAAAGACGCTATAAGTTCTTTTCTCTACAAATTTGACCATCCACGAGATGGAGACCTAAGTTTGCAAAGGCAAAATGACCAATACTGCCGTGCTGAGGAAAAACGCCGTATGAGCCTTTAGGCGTTGCCAAATTTCCCCTGGCAAATCAATAATTTTCAGGATTTTTTTAAAGGTTGTCTACCAATTTCGTAGATAATTTTGTTTGTCATTAAATTTGATCGAAAACGTCTGAAAATTTCAAGGAAAAATATTCATAATTTTCTTCAAAAATAAGCATTTCATCGAAGGAAATTTGGCAACTCTCGAATGTTCATACGGCATTCATCCTTAGCACGGCAGAGTGGGTAAGGCAATTTTTGTCAAGATCTGTTTTACGCGTTTTTTTTTTTTTTTTTTTTTTTTTTTTTTTTTTTTTTTTTTACTTTATGGTATAAAGGGTGAATGGTTATAGACACATCTCCTTTAGTCATGTTTTTATCAATGACGCAATTTTGAGTTTATTTTAAGGAGATTCTGTCATCCCCGCTAGTAATGATGAACATGCCTACTTGTTTTTGACCAGTATACAAGTACAAATAATTTGAGGAAAATTGGAGTTCCACTTAAATCACCTCGAAATTTTACTCGCATTATTAGTGAAATCGACGATGAAACTATCAGACCGCGTATCTCGGTTTGCGACGTTGTAGACTTCCTGTATTACTTTATTTTTAAAAATGGGAAACTACTTATAGTCAGTTCTTGAAAACTTCCGTGTTTTTTCTTCTTTGTGCGAAGAAAACTCTGTAAAAATAAGAAAAGATATTGATTTGTACTTACATACTAGGATAACCTAGAATCAAAACAGGTACTCGCTTTCCCGTCTTACGCGGAGCCATTTGACAATTTAAAAATGGAATATCTACGGATCGTGGCATAAAAAAGCATTGGAGCTGGATAGTTCATTTCCTGATTGCTCACGCGATTTGAAGCGCGCGAAAAACGTCCACCAGCGATGCATTGAAGGGATTTTAGCGAATTTTAGAGGTACAGTTCTCGAAAACCTACCGATATAATATCGCCAAAACTTTGTATTTATAAAGATCAGAGCACCGAAATGCTGATTTAAGCATTAAAACTTTAGAAAAATGGCTAAAATAAAAAAAATACAAGGAAAAGCAGTCTAAAGCAGCGGCATCATCCATTTAAACATACGGTATTTTGAACGATCCGGACGAGAGTGGATAGTCCATTTTTGACGATGCGAATACCCGCTTTGATTCTAGGTTACCCAGCTAACACATACATAAAAGTCGCTCCTACAAAACACTCTAGCGTTTTGCGACACCCCTATCGATTCGTTCTCCTTCATACAAATCAAACTAGATCGGAGCTTTTTAAACACTGCAAACGAGATACGTCGTCCATACTTTCGCCGTCGAAATGCTACTAGCATTAATATAATTTTGTAGTCCTGCATTTTCAAAACGTGCCGTTTCTGGTTAGGGGGCATGTTCAAATGATGTAAAATTTATGAATAATCAATTTTTGTTACTGATTCAATGCTCAGTTGCTGAGATATCAGACACCGTAAATTCAATGTATATACTTATTTTTGATAAATCTTCCCTTTGATCAGTTGAATCTATGCGTATATCGATTTGCGGTGCGGATATAATAACATTTAGAGCGATTCTCTCGATATTACTTGACGTTTTACTTGCATCAGTATAAAAATTCAATTGATATTAGTAGTACACTGGAAAAAAAACTCCGGCTGTGGAAACCGTGGCTGTCACCTTCTGGCCAAAGTATCATGAGCGCCATGCGACGTTTAACGATTGCCGCCGCCATTTTATTTTTTTGCAGAGAAATTGTTCAACGAAGCTGTCCGAAAATTTCACTGAATTTTCTTTGCACTGCCGATGTAATTCAGTATAAAATTTTCAAACAGATTCAATCAACCATTAATCTGTAAAGAAATGAAATGGCGGCGGAAATTTTTAAACGTCACATGGCGCTTGTGATACCTTGGCCGGAAGGTGACGATATAGGCATATTATTTTTTCGGGCTTGGAGACAGAAAGTTCCGGGTGCTGGAACCGTAGCTCCGACTGATCCAGGTTCAGTGATTGGGGCAGGCTGCTGCTCCCGGAACGTTTGGCCTTTGAGTTGGGAACGGACGGTTTATCTAGGTAGCCCATAATAACAGCTTTTACAGCCGGGGTTTCTTTTTCAGTGTCTAGTTCCAACTGATATCGGCAGAATTCTCGACTTGTTCCTACCCGGCATTTTCAGCAGGGTTCTTTGCGGCCGGTCTTGAATGATAAAAGACGCCAATTGGACTGAATTTTGCAATTTGGAACTATAAATTCTGGCTTATCTGAACAAACACTTATGTGCATGGGGAAACTAATGTCACATACGTTGTTTTAAACCGGGCCATAATTTATAATTCCAAATTGCAAAATCCAGTCCAATTACTCATACATCTAATTCCTACAAAAATTTTTTTCTCTTCAATTCAAAATCTAATTTCACCTAACTAAAACACATTAAATTTTTTGTCCCTTCAGAATACCTCACTTCCACTGCATGACCAAGCGCTAACGTCAAATCCGTACCTCAAGAACACATCAATAGGAAGACAGAATCATCCTCTTGCAGAGTGACTTAAAATTCCATCAGTCTGTGCAACCGGTTATAATCAAACCCGTCTAAATTTTCCGAGGGTTTCTTCATCACATCTGAGTAGAAATACGTGACGGATATTGCAACTTTAAAAAACCCCAAAAATTCGAAACGCTGTAAGTTCACCTGACGCTCTACTCTGAAAGTAGAGTGGTTCAGCGCTCCTTTAAGTCAACCGTACGTGCTTCAAAATGAAAGGCTACATCACATTATCTATACTGGGTTTCATGAGTCACATCGCTGTATGTCACGCAGAGGCACTACAAGAAGACCCAGAACACCAGAATTACCAAGCCCGCAGGATTATTAAACCCATCTTCGACCCGGTGGCACAGCGAGTCGAAGTCACCGGCAATCATGCTTTCGTAGCCCCCGGGCCGGGCGACCAGCGCGGTCCTTGCCCAGGGCTCAACGCCATGGCCAACCACAACTACATCCCACGCAACGGAGTCGCAACCATCCAGCAACTCGTAGACGGTTGCAACAAGGCCTACGGGATGGGGCGCGACCTCGCCTTGGTCCTCGCAGTGTACTCTTGCGTCATGGCAGGAGACACCACGAAAGAGAGCATCGGGGGCAACACACCAAAAGTCATCGGCGGTCCTCTCGGGATTCCACACGGTCTCTCTTTCAGCCACAACAAGTTCGAAACGGACGCCTCGCCGACCCGCGGGGACCTCTACCAGTTCGGCGACGCCTCGAAAGTCCAGATGCCCCAGTTCAAACAACTCTACGGGATGGGAAACAAGTCGACCAACTACAACCTGGACATCATCTTTGATTTCTACGCGAAGCGTCTAGCTCAAAGCAAGAGTGACAATCCGAAATTTTTCCACCCTGCCGTCGCGGGGGTCCTTCTCGTCGGTGCGTACAGTTTCATCTACCGCTTGTTCGCCAACCATTCCGCGGAACATTCCGACGGTTTCCTCGATCAGGAGACCCTCAAGTCCTTCTACGCGATCTCCGGGGAGGGCGATAAGATGACTTACATGCCTGGCCACGAGCGGATCCCGAGTATCTGGTACAAACGCCACTTCACCGACGAATACACTGTGGTCCAAGCCAATTTGGACGTTCTCCGAGCGGTCACTAAATACCCTCAGTTTCTCGATATCGGAGGGAACACCGGCTCTAAAAATTCGTTCATCGGCGTTGACCCCGCGAATCTCACGGGCGGTGTCTACACGGCTAAGAACCTTTTGCAGGGGAACAATCTGGGGTGTTTTATCATTCAGGTGTTGCAGCAAGCGATGCCCGACCTGGTGAAGGGCCTCATGAAGGCGCTCACCGATGCTGTCACCACGGTTGTCGGCTCGATTTTGAACAATGCCAGCCTTCTCAAGTGCCCGCAGATAACAATGTATGATAAGTCCCTGTATTCGGTGTACCCTGGTTACACGGAGCTGTTGCCTGATGGTACTTACACCGGCCTCTCGCAACTTGTCCGTATGCTTTGGCCAGGTTTCAGGAGGTTCTAGAGACTCTCCGGAGGGCCAATTATTGAAATTTTTAGACAAAACTATAGACAAATTAGACTTAAGGAGTACAGAGCGATCCTATTGGTTGAAATGGGTGGTTCTCATAAACTAAGGGGGTAAATGATGGACTAACTATCAGGTCTCTCGTGCGTTGCTGTTAGTTAGTCTATTATCTACCTCTTTAGTCCATTACAATCACCCGCTTCCACCAATAGAATTCCTCCATATCCTTTTGTCTTCTTTATCTATTGCTTTGTCTATCAATTTCAATAATCAGCCCGCTGGTCCGCCCTCAGTCCCCCTATCTCCTATGCAGCTCCCCTTCCTCTTACTCTCCTTTTCTACTTTCCTATTCGTTCCTTCGATTTGATTATTCTTTTTCTCGAGTGAAATAGAAATGGGCTACATTTTCCAATATGGGACAACAATTTTTGGCTCAATTGGAAAAGTACCTATCTACATAGAGAAACTACGAGGTTGTTTTTTTGGTGAGTTGGAAATGGTAGCTCCTAATTGTTAAATGTGGTCCAAATAAATGATTTACCGTCAACAACCCTTCCGTGCTAAGGAAGAACACCGTATGAGCAGTCGAACTTTGCCAATTTTCCACAGTAAAAAAGTTCATTTTTAAAGAGAGTTATGAATACTTTACCTTGAAATTTTTGAATTAAATTGCGCACAAAATTGTCTAAAAGATTGGTATGAAAAAATCGCAAATTTTCCAGGAAGAACGTGTTTAGTAAAATGAGATTTAGCAATATTCGAACTTTCATATGGCGTGCTTTCTTAGCAGGGCAGTATCGGAGGGCACAGCCGAATTAGCATTGCTAATGAATGAAGTCGATTCATTGAAGTCAATTTTAAGGCTACTCAATACCCGTAGAAGTTCTGAACTCGGCTAGATCAAAATGTGATTGATTTTATTCGAACATGCATCTATATGTAAATAATTGTGACAACCAAAACATGAATTATTACAATAAACGATTTTTGAAATTATTTAGTTAGAATTATTATGTTTTTTTTTTTTTTTTTTTTTTTAAAGTAAAGTTGAATATACCATGAAACCAGCTCTGATTATCCGTTCAGGGCTGGATTTACCTACTTGCCGCCCAAAGGCCGTTTGCATTTTGCTGCCCCCTTCTCATTCGTTTTGACACATCAATAAAAACCATCAAGTTAACGTGTCGGAGGGGGAGGGGTGCATAAGACGCGTTTACCTACTCTTGTTGGATACATTCTTTGGAAAAGCCTTGTCAACACTACTAGCAAAATTTCACGGAACTTTGAGCGAGAGTTAAGTTCCGTAAACCTATCTGTATGTGGACAAGGTCCTCCATTTATAAGAAATGAAGCAAACAATTATGAAAGAACAAACATAAATGTGGTTTAATAATTTTAACTTCCGCCGCTGCGCCGCCGTGCTGATCGCACTGTATTTCGCGCAATGCGTGAAGTATTTCTACAGTCTTGTAGGCGCTATGCGTTTCACGCCAACCGCTCCTGACCGCACTGTGTTTGGCGCAATGGGTGAAGTATTCCCCCGGTAGTTACATCAACAACCATGGATGTTGATGTAACTACCTCCACCGCAGTAGTTATCGTAACTACCGCACGGTAGCTGGCGCATTTGTAACTACCCGCTGGTTGTGTCGACTACCCTATTTTTTTCGGTGAGCTAAATTTAAATTTCGAGGGTCCCAAAGGGAATCTACCCTTAAAATTCTGAAACGTATACACATTTCGGGCTAAATATTTGTGAACAATTAATTTAAGTAAAGGCTTTTATTGAGGAGTATATATATTTTGCCATCCTAACAAATTAACGCTGTGCTTTTCCTCCAAAAAAATGTAAAAAAAAAATGAAGTGTTAGAATTAGAGAAGCGTAAACACAAATTTGAATTATTGTGGTGAAAAAGAGGTTTAGACTAAAAAAGCACTAACCTGTTGCCCCTTTGAAGCAATCTGTACATAATCATATCGGCTTCAGAAATTTATAAAGATAATCACTTTAGTCCTAAGCAGTAATTGCGTGAGCTTTAGTTAGAAATATTAACGATGCCGGAAAAAGTTATGGTTCTTTGCGTTTTCTGAAAGTTGGTGAAACAGAATTTGTGCCTCTTTGATCCCACATACTTCAAATAAAAATTATTAGTTTTTGCCTTTTTGTAGTTTATTATTTTTTTAAGACGCGAGGATGCGACTTAAGTACTCTGATTCTCCTAAATCTACTAAGAGTAAAATTAAAAATTCATTGGTTCAAATACTTTATCCTCGAGCAAACACAAAATGGCTGCAAACCTGATACGTCTTTATCACTTCTAATTAAGTAGCGTACATTGTCAGACGAACCAGGGCAGTGAACCTGTGACTCGTGATTTTCTGATGGCGGCATCCGAACTGACTCAGATGTCTTTTGTCAAGCGGTAAATCGCGCCAAAAACCGATTTGTAAATGATGCTTATAAAAAAGACATCTATTTCCCATTAGCACTATCGAATGCAAACTAGTTGTCGTTGTTTCGGAGCTCTTCAAAATATGCAGCGAAAAATGTGTCTGTGAATGTTACAAGTTAATTTGGAACTGTGGTCTGCTTTAAATTAATACCTGCAGGTAATGTACTGATCTCTTTTTTATTGAATATTTTTTGTCCCCCTCTTTCCCTCCCCCGTAATTACTTACTACAGCTAATTCGTGAAGATAGCCGATAAGATCTGTGGGATAATGTAGGGAGTGACCGACAAAAAAATCGGGGTACTGTCATGGGCGGAACTGGTATGCGGCTGAGGGGGCCTGCCTTGCCCCCAGAAATTCACATGCCTCCCCCTCTAGAAATATAAGAGATTTCACGAGAAAAAAAAGGTTGACATTTTTTTCTCCTCTGACATCTTAATTAGATCAATTTGTAGATAAGAATAGCTCAAAATTGTTTCAAAGACGACTCATTTTTTCAAAATTTTCCGGGTAAAGCCCCCGGACCCTCCTCTGGCGCTAAGGAAGCCCCCTGAACCGGTGCACGGACTTCATGTCCACTTTTTTTACGTCCACGAACTTTTCGTCCACAATTTTTACGTCCACAGTTCTAAAGCCCACACTATTGTTAAGTCCATTACTTAAACGTCCACTAAGTTAAGTCCACAAATGTAAAGTCCACTAAAATCAAATTCAAGCTTCATATTTTAGTCCGAGTGTAAAATTATATTGACAATATCGAAATGAGAAAATTAAGAGAGAATGAGGTGCTGTTATCGTAACTCACATTTTAAATGAAATGTTAATTTCTAATAGTTATTTCTGAATAATCAATGCAGAGAGTGCAAAAATTTCAAAGTCATGAGTTGAAAAACGCTGACTCCGCTAGTTTAAATATTAGAGCCTGCCACAGAGCGGAGCGGCGTGTTAGCAGCGCAGAACGCGCACTGGCGCCTACAAACCTAACGGGATACTTCACGCATTGCGCAACGCGTGAAGTATCCCGTTAGGTTTGTAGGCACCTATGCGCGTGTCACGCTGGTTGCCTGCCGCGCCGCAACGCTTTAAGCAACTATTTTGCGTCAGAGGCGTTGCACAGTATCCAACAAGATAGAAGGCGCACGAAATAACTAGTTAAAGAGGACTTTCAATTTTGACTGCATCTGTTACTGAAAAATGTTTAATTTGGCATCGGGGCGTTTCCTAGGCTCCCGCTTTGGTTTTCATCTTATCATATCCGTACAGTGTACACATGAACATATATTTTTATCTGCTATTAGAGTCTGTTCTCTTTCATGACTTGATTCATGAATGAAATGTTTTTAAGAATGAAGGTAGTAGTAGTATATACATTTATTTTTGAGGTGGTTCCTGTCATTTAAATGAGAAGAAAAAAATGTGGACATAACATGTCCACAATTTGGACATATTCATGGTTGGACATTAAATCATGCGGACTTAATAAAGACCTGACTTAACGTTTAGTGGACATAAATAGCGGTGGACATTTATTTAATGAACGAAAGGTGGGTGGACATAAAGTCCTGGAAGCCCTGAACCACTCTATGGAACGGGGGTTCAAAAATTCCTCCTAAACGATGTGTTTTTCGATGTGCCCTGTACCTTTTTCCATGAGGTCCCTCCACAAAAAGTTCCTAGTTCCACCCATGGGTATTTGGTATTTTTTCTGATTTCTGGAAGATTGATAACTTATAAAAGATGGCAAATGGGTGCACTCTTTTAGAAAGAAAGACAAAGTATAGACATATACAAAGGCAAGGGGGATACACAAGTGCAATCAAAATACAGATTAAAATCACCTTAGATTTCAAAGGAGGCAAATTCAAACTCTATCAATTTTAAAATGTTTGAAAATTTAAATGCCACTTACACTTTGTGATTTTAATTAAATTGGCAAAACGATCTGAGAAGAACTTGATAAATAACCTGAAAGGTAACGTTTCAATCGTCCCAAGGTATCGTTGTCCAGTTCTAATGAGAGACTTTTTGTCCCTCCTTTTGTTGGTTCGATGCCAGTAATTACCCGTGTGTTTAAACTTTGTTATCCAATTTTTTCTTCAGTATATGAATAAGTCCACACCATGGAAATATTTCTCAAATTAACCAGTTGAAATTCAAGAAATCCTAATTTAAAATTTACAGAGGAAAGGTTCGTCAAGAGATTTTTTTAGTCCCTTTTTTACCTAAGAGTAAAGAAGCTTACTTTTTATTTTCAAGTCGCGAGCCGTAAGGTAGTTTTTAGCTTTTCAAAAAACGCAGGGTGCATTCTCCTCCCAGCCTTTAATCACATTAGTTTGGATCGCTCTCTCACTCATCCTTTAGTCCAATGTGATGAAATGAATATGGAACTATCGCGCGCCACAAAATCGGGTATTTACAGCGGACTCCCATATATTAATTGCATGTATTTCTGCCAGACGAAACCAAAGACAGGTGGAAGAGAAGGGGTATGCTCGTTAGTATAGAGGGCCGTAAGAATGAATGGGAATTAAAAAGCTCCAGTGACGTCACCGGCAACTAGGCTGTCGCCGCGGACGCCCCTGTGGATCATTAACTCATGAGCCTTGTTCACAATGCTTTTCCATTTCTCCAAAGGAAATCACGCCCACTTTTACATTGTTTCTTATCCAGCTTTCTAGAGCGCACCCCATCTTTCCCACTCGTCTGCAGTTCCGTTTGGCACAACTACGTCCAAATGAACGGACTCAAATCCACATGTTACCGTCCTAATGCGACATCTGCGACATCGTCTACCTTTTTTGATAACTCCTTTCCAAAATATGAGGTAGATACGACATTAAAAGCCTTGGGATATGAAAAGTGTGACTTTCTACTTTATGTGTATTTGTGCAACTGTGTTAATGTTATAAATTTTTTGTGTGTTAGGATATGATTTACTTAAACCTCAACGACTGGTAACCCCTTTCCAATTATCAACTTGAACTTGCAGTCTATCTTCACAATACAATGGACGGATTATCATAGACGTAAATCATTTCACAGCGTTTGTCAAAATGATTTAATGTCTTGCGCGTACAAATCCAGAGAACATACCAGAGCATTGGAAATACGCAGGTACAATCATACACATTCTCACTTGCATATCCGTGTTTGAGATTTTTGCATTATAATTCCTAGCGTATAAAAAGTGTGCATGTTACAGGACCATAACATCTCAAAGCACTTGACGCTCAGGTGCCACGTCTAGCACACAATGTGCATTCGATGAATCGTCCCACACTGCCTTCAAAATCGAAATAATTTCCTTTGATTCCCAAAGGGAGTTGCTCCAACTTTGCACCATACAATTAGCTTTCCCGCAATGAGAACCCGCGTAGCATTATTTGCACTGGTCCTCATAAGCCAGAGCATAGCAGTCCACCCGGAAGTCGCCCAAGAATGTCCATATCAACACCATCGAGAGGGTTCTAACCTCCAAATTCGAGACATAAAACCCACCTTCAATGCCAAGGCCCAGCATGTAGACGTTTCCGGCAAGCACGCTTTCATGCCTCCCGGGCCCACGGACATACGGGGCCCGTGTCCAGGGCTGAACGCCATGGCAAACCACAACTACATTCCACGCAACGGCATAGCCTCCCTCATACAAATGCTAGAGGGCTGCTATAAGGTCTTCGGAGCATCAGCAGAACTCTGTTTTCTTCTTGCATTTTTCGGCTGTTTGTATGGCGGAAATGGGGTAATGGTGAGCATCGGAGGCCCCAGCGATAAAGTTCCCCACGGCCCTCTCCCTACACCGCGAGGCCTCTCTTACACTCACAATAGGTTCGAGTCGGATGCCTCACCGACTCGCGGTGACCTCCACCAGTACGGCGACGCCGCGAAGCTTCAACTCTCGCAGTTCAAAGAACTTCTAGACATGGAGAAAGGGCCCAACCCTCGTTACAACCTCGAGACTCTTGTCGCTTTCTACGCTAAACGTTTGGTCGAGAGCAGGAAGACGAATCCGTACTACTTCCATCCTCTAATCCCGGCACTTATCCTTTTCGGCGCTTATCAGTTCATTCCCGAGTTGATGTCCAATAAATCCGCTGAATACCCCGAGGGTTTCCTCGACCGGGAAACACTCAAGTCTTTCTACGCCGTCTCCGGGGATGACGACAATCTGATCTACACGCCGGGACATGAGCGCATTCCATCCAATTGGTACAAACGCGCCGTTGGTGACGAGTACAGTGTGGTGAGCTTCGTTCAAGGACTTATCGAGTTCTTGCCCAGGTACCCTCAAGTGCTTCAAATCGGGGGTAACACGGGCACCGTCGACTCGTTCGTTGGAATTGATATAGCCAATCTGACTGGCAATGCCTATACGTTTCCGACCCTTCTCCAAGGAAACAATATGGCGTGTTTCCTTTATCAGGTTACGCGGGCCGTATACGTGGATATGTTGAATGATGCTGTAGAATTCCTCAGTTCTGTTGTTTTCACAGTCTTCGGCACCGTTCTGAACGCTCAAAGCTTGCTGGAATGCCCGCAGTTGACAGGAATCAATACAAATTTGTATTCGATGTACCCAGGCTACATGGAACTGCTGCCTAATGGATCATATAGCAGCCCTCTTCAACTTGTTCGTAAGCTGTGGCCGGATCTAAGGAAATTATAACGATTTTTTGACTCTTTAATGTGGAGCGGAAAATTTTTTAAAATGTTGGGGCCATACATTGACTTGATACCCATCTGGAAATGTTTTTTGGAGCGCACAAGCATGTAAAAAATATTTCAATTGGAAGTATCCTAAAAGTCTTATTTGTGCAATGAGCATTTCTAATGTATGTTGAAATCAGGCTCAGATTGAGAGTTCGAGGAGAGAATGAAAATTGTCGAATTCAGTAGTTTGTATGATTCAGCATGATGAATTGTAATAATTTAGATCCCGTTTCAGGTAAGTTCTGTTTTTTTGCGCTGTATGCGCGGAGTACGGAATTCTGTACTCCGTGCATACAGCGAAATAGGTTAAAGTCATCTGAAACTGGATCTAAAGGCTTTTCGTGAATGTTTCAGGTTCTCAATATCGACGGTGTACGTTTGCAACCACGTTTCTCGTCAGCAGTGTCTGAAGATTTCCTCTCCTCTTATTTTTTTGAGAAGAACAAAGACATAATTCCTTGAAGTTCTCACAGAATTTTTTTCACCCAGAGTAGAAAAGTAACGACAGGTTTTAATTTTTGCCCTTGAGTAGTCTTCCATTTAAAAAACAAAGTACGACTTGAAATCTGCAACGTCGCAAATTGAGATACGTGGTTGCAGACATACACCAGCAATATAATTAATATACTGAAGATGTGTACATTGAATTAGAAAAAAAATTTGACTTTAGCGAAAAATGCGCAAATATCACTTCTACATTGCATCTCAGAACAGACTTCTTAAATGTCTTGAAGCTTGTTAGTTTTGTTAAGTTGAAAAATATGTTCTTTATTGTGATCAGATTGAATCAAATGTTATTGCGTGATGAGAGTACTAACTTTTAAGATCGGAATCATTCATATCTAACATATTTAATAGCATAAAAAAATATTTATAATAATAAAATTGCTTAATTTTTTAATGTAAATTGCTGTAGATCTCTCTTAGCTGAGTTAGGATATATCAATGGTTGCCTTCCATTTCATTAAAATTTCCCATGATGAAACGAACTTTTCTCATTTTCCCCAAAAGTTCCTTTCTTGTGAATCTTGAAACGGAATTTTTCTTCTTTTCATTTTTTTACTTGTTAATTGTCCATCTAGTGTGAAGAGAAATATTTTACTTTTGATAAATTTATTTCTCCTTCCAATGTGTCTTATGCTGATGTACGATGCGGCGCAGCGGGCGGGCAGAGAGCGCGGAACGCGCATTGGCGCCTACAAACCTAACAGGGATACTTCACGCATTGCGCAATGCGTGAAGTATCCCTGTTAGGTTTGTAGGCGCCAGTGTGTCGCCGCTCCGCTTTGTGTTAGGCTCTAATATTTAATCTCGCGGAGTCAGCGTTTTTCAATAACTCATGATTTTGAAATGTTTGCACACGCTGTATGGAGTATTCTCATTTTAATTGATGAAAAAAAAAAATAAGTTCTAAAGGAAAATATAATGTGCGTTTTGTAAATATTAAGGTAGTTCCGTATCAAACTTAAGTTATGATTTCCAAAGCACACGAATTTCTACACAATTTCTTTTACCCTTTTATAATGGCGATAAAGTGTAAAGCCCGGCGATAGGAACTATAGCCCGACTGTATACTTTTTTTATAGCTTCGTATAGCCCGGCTATATTATTTGCTCCGCTTTCTACAGTCAGCTACATGATTTTCAATAGCCTTCTTTGGTCGGCTATAAGAACTTTTATGGTATTTTAAAACGCAGCTCCTATCGCCAATTTTTACCAGGGCAGTTCGTTAAGGTATTGGTGCTGTGACACCATAGTTAAAAAAAAAAAAAAAAAAAAAAAAAAAAAAAAAAAATGACCTTATAATTGGGAATTTTTTTATAAAAGTAAATATTAATTTCATGTCATGAATGCTTACTCTTAGCTACACATTAATTATTTTCGATGGTACAATGTGTTGGGCAAAACAAAACAGTGAGCCAAATTTTAATGCACCACTGCTAAATGAAAGATGACTCGAAATTCAATAACGCGGAGATCTGTTCCCATTAGCACTATCATGAACGTCATCAGATCCACATTATGGTAGGCGTCATTTCGAGGTTGTTTATCATGTCCAGCGGTTGAAGGGGCTTGTGAATATCTCCGATCATTTTTGAAACTCGGCCTGTTTTGTTTTTTTATCAAAAACTTCAGGTAATGTATTTAAGTGTTTCTTTTTTATACTCTTCTTCCCTGCTAGCCTATAACTCCTGTTCCTCAAGCTCTTCGGTTTGTTATACTTAAACATTTAAAGTAAATACATCATGTACTCTTCGTAAAAATAATTTATGAATAGTGCAGTGAGAAGGGGTCATTGTTACAGCTCCTAATAATCAATAGAGAAAACTGCTGCGAAAAATACGCACTTCACCTTCGTTTTTACAATAAAAAAAATTGATCCGGTTCAGCGCCTGCTTTAATAGCAATACGAATTCATAAGAATGGTGAATAAACATAGATTCCCCTAAAAATAATCAGAGGCGGGTGGAAGAATTTTTTTTGATAAAAGCTGAAATACATGGTTACTTGTTCTCATCAAAACTTACGAGGCGATCTACTTCTATAAATTCAAAGGTATCGCGTTAATATTTTATTCATGATGAATTTAAAAATACTCAAAACTCGTTGGGATAATATTGGGCATTTGATAATTTATAAGATTGCTTGGAAAAATGCAGAAATATCACTTTCTCACTGTGTCTCAGAACAAACTATGCTTAAATGTCGTGTTGCTTGTTACCGTTATTACGTTTCAAAATACGTTATTCATTGTGACCAGATTAAATGTCAGTACCTAGCATTAAGATCGGAATCATTCGTATCAAAAAAATTTAATTACATAAAAATTACTCTCTAAAGGGGCTGTAACAGTTCGTTAAGGCAGTGTTCTGCCGTGCTAAGGAAGAACGCCGAATGAACCTTCAAAAGTTGCCAAATTTCCTTCGATAAAATGCTTATTTTTGAGAAAAGTTAAGAATATTTTTCCTTGAAATTTTCAGGAAATTCGGGTGAATTTGAGAACGAAATTATCTGAAAAATTTGGAGAGAAAATATTCATAACTTTACCAGGTAATTCCCGTTTTATCAAAAATAATTTGGCAACGTCTGAAGGTTCATACGGCGTTTTTCCTTGGTACGGCAGTGCTGTTGCGACACCATAGTTCCTCGTCCTCGGAAGGCTGTACCGGCATTGCGGAAAAGTCTGCCTTAACAACTACTCAAAAATGCAACTAAGTCGGCTTGTTAAAATAATGCAACCAAACTCTTTCGGCTCTCATCATGTGGTATTTATGCAATTTGCGGAAAATATAAAAAACTAAAAAAAAAAAAAACCTGGTATTACTAAGGTTCCAAATTGAAGAATTTCATAAAAGAAAGTTGAAACATCATTACGTAATGTCTCCTTGTTTATTTGCATGCGCATAAACAATGATCGGAACATCGCAATTGATCAGCTTCTGTAGTTTCTGTGTTTTTGCAGCTTTACGGTTGCTTGTATAATGCATCATAATCTATAATTATTAATATGAAAAATGTATCTTATATATCCTTGAGTACTGATAAAATATGCAACAGTCATAAAATCATATCTTGTTAATCCGCAACGGACGAGATATTATGCTGTTTGCCTCGCGATTTTTTCAATGTAAGAAACGTTAAAATGGTGAAATTGTTATTTTCTGCCAAAATATTTCTTACTTTCCCTCCAAAAATTGCTCACTTATCAAAAAAAAGAAAAAAAAAGAAAAAAAAAACCGGAGACAGCAACGTGAAATTAATCTTAACCGCGATGTTTGCACTGTTCTCTAATTACACCAATGCGTAGCCCTTTTCATAATGATTTGACCTAACATATTTACCCAGAAAACATTCACTTTTACAGCACTTAAGCATGCACAGTCACGCATATTCTATGGGAGAATTTACATTTTTTGGTGTGTGCACATGATTTAATTTTTAATATTATATTATAATTCAATGTAATTCGAAATTTAAAGTACCAACCACAAGTTGTAAAGTCACGTTTGAGGTGCTACTACACTTAAATAGCTCTTTTCACATAGGCGGATCCAGGGGAAGGGGTTATAGGGGACGATTTAGGTTAAAAAAAAGTGAAAAGAAAAATGGAAGGAAGAATGAAGGAAGGAAAGGAGGAAAGAAGAAGGAATGACGCTCATATTTGGTAATTAGTCATCACACAATTGACTCAAACTACACATGATATGCTTTAAAATTTCTAAAATTTTCTGGAAGGAGCCCTCCGGTTCGAAGTATCTGGGTCCGCCTGTCTCTTTTCATACCTCTGTCCCGATTAAAAATCAATTCCTTTGATTCCTATAGGACGTTGTACCAACTTGGTTCAACTCGGAGCAAGTTTCTTCTCCAACATGAGGACCCACTTACCATTATCGGCGCTGGTCTTCATTGCCCAGGGCATACTAGTCCATCCAGAGGTTGCTCAAGAATGTCCATATCAGTCCCACCGAGAGGGGCCGAATCTTCAAATTCGACGCATAAAACCCACCTTCAATGCGGAGGCGCAGAGAGTAGACGTTTCCGGGAAGCACGCTTTCAAGCCTCCCGGGCCCAAAGACCAGCGAGGTCCCTGTCCAGGGCTCAACGCAATGGCAAACCACAACTACATTCCACACAACGGTATTACAACGCTCCCGGATATGATAGAGGGAGCTTACAAGGTCTTCGGATTGGCGCCAGATCTTGGATTGATCCTTGGTATGGCTGGCACTGGTTATGCTGGAAACTTGAGATCGGTAAGTATCGGAGGTCCTAGTGATGAAGTTTCCGCTGGCCCTTTCCCAACACCTCGAGGCCTCTCTTGCAGTCATAACAAGTTCGAGTTAGATTCCTCCCCGACTCGTGGCGACCTCTACATGTACGGCGATGCCGCGAAGCTTCAACTTTCCCAGTTCAAAGACCTTTTAGATATGGGGAAAGGGCCCAACCCTAATTACGACTTTGATACTGCTGACGCTTTCTACGAGAAACGTTTGAAACAATGCAAGAGCAGTAACCCATACTTTTTTCATCCGCCAGTCCCGGCAATTGTACTTTTTGGCGCTTACGAATTCATCCCCTCGTTGATGTCCAATAAATCCGCAGAATATCCCGAGGGTTTCCTCGACCGGGAAACACTCAAGTCTTTCTACGCAGTTTCCGGAGATGACGACAATCTGATCTACACGCCGGGACATGAGCGTATCCCATTCAACTGGTACAAACGTGCCATCGGCGATGAGGTCAATGCAGGAACTCTTGTCGAACGCATCCTTACGGTTCTCCCCAAGTACCCGCAATTTTTTCAAATCGGGGGTAACACTGGCAAAGTCGACTCGTTTGTTGGACTTGACCTCGCAAATCTTACGGGCAATGTCTACTCGTTACCCACTCTTCTACAAGGGAATAATTTGGTTTGTTTCCTTTATCAAGCTATGCGCAGCACGTATCCAGATATGTTGAATGGTGTGGTGGAAGTAATTGATTCTATTGTTTTCACGGCGCTTAGCTCGGTTTTCAACGCTCAAACCTTGCTTAGCTGCCCGCGGTTGACGCAGTTGAATACAACTTTATACTCGATGTACCCAGGCTACACGGAACTTCTTCAAGACGGAACGTACAACAGCACCCAATACCTTAACCGCGAACTACGGCCGGATCTACCGAAATATTGAAGGATAATTAATCCTCACATTTTTATTTACTTCCATCGTTGAAGTGTGGAGCTTTTTTAAAAGCGACGGGGAGATATCCAAACCACGTATCTTTGCCTGATGTGTTGCAGATATCGTTTAAATTCTATTACTTTATTCACTATAGTTTAAGGGGCCGTCCACATATTACGTGAGGCACTTTTTCCGGTTTTAAAATTTTCTGAATTTTTCGATATGCTTTGAAATAATTTTTGAAATAAATTCAGACCCTGTTCAAATTGCTTGAGTACTGTTATGTAATTATTAAAATTATTTTATATCCAAGGTGGAGTTGCTTGTTTCATATTTCCTTCATTAAAAATTTTCAAACTTCAACTGCTCTTCTAGTTCTTTTTCCAAATCATCTGAGCCCCTAGTGACACAACACTTCTACTAACACAGAAAACATGTGTAGTTCTAAAATGTTATAAACCTGTACTGCTCTTTAATTGAAATATGACATGAAATTACAGATTTTTGCCCCTGTATCTGTACTTGCATGTTTGAATCTCAGACAGGGACACCTCACAAATTAATCTTATTTTGCAGCCAAAGTTCCTTTTGGAGATCAAAACTTATTTTAAATACGACCCATCAATCCAAGATCAAGAAATATAGAAATAATACACATTCGAGCTTATGGTGAACGGTATGCTGCATATGAAGTAATATGAAGGTGTTTTGCCTTCAATCCACGCGCTAGGCAAAAGCATTACCACAAAAGTTGGAACAGTGGTATTTGGACCGCGTTAAGCAGAAAGGAACCAAGCCACATCAGGTATTGTATTGCCAAATTTGACTAGACAATTTAATTTTTTCCATGAAAACCGTTGTGCGGATTTTCGCGCAAATTTCAGTGAATTTTCTGCATAGTACAAAGCAAATTCCCCGAAATTTTCAAAGGAATCCGCACAAACCTTCTTTTGTAAAAAATTAAATTGCCCCGTTAAATTTGGCAATAGCTGATGTGGCTTGGTTCCTTTCTGTTAAACTCGGTCCATTTATGAGCCGTAAGTATTATGCGTATTTTTACGCTACTCGTCCAAAGAATGGACATATTTTAACAACCCTGGTAAAAATTGGCAATAGAATCTAGGTTTTTGGTTTACCGCTCTCTTTTTGGGCAGTAGTATCTTTATTTATTTTGCGAGGAAAGATCCGTACTTTTGAAGGATACCTGCCATTCCTAACATGTTGGAGCGCCTTCAATTTCGTATGATACTGTGCAATACCTCTGGTGTAAAATAGTTGCTTCAAGCGCCGTGGCACGCTGCGGCGCCGCGCGGCGGGCGGGCAGCAAGGGCGAAACGCGCATTGGCGCCTTCAAACCTAACAGAGATACTTCACGCATTGCGCAATGCGCGGAGTATCCCTGTTAGGTTTGTAGGCGCCAGTGTGCCGCCGCTCCGCTTTGTGTTAGGCTCCAATATTTAATCTCGTGGAGTCAGCGATTTTCAACTCATGACTTTGAAATGTTTGCACACTCTGTATGGATTATTCTTATTTTGATTGATGAAAAAAAAAAAAAAAATTAGTAAAGGAAAATATTATGTGCGTTTTGTAAGTATTAAGGTGATTCCGTACAAACTTAAGGATTTACAAAGCACACGAATTTCTACACAATTTCTCATAGCCTTTTATAGCCGATGGCGAAAAAGCAATACAGCCAGGCGATAAAGAGTAAAGCCCGGCGATAGGAACTGTAGCCCGGCTGTATAATTTTTTATCGCTTCGTGTAGCCCGGCCGTATGATTTTTTCCACTTTCTACAGCCAGCTATATGTATGATTTTCTATCGCCTTCTTCAGTCGGCTATAAGAGCTCCTACGGTATTTTGAAACGCAGCTCCTATCGCCAATTTTTACCAGGGAAAGTAAGCCTTACTCAATAAAACTTTTCCTTATCTCCTCTAATATATCATTTCCCTACCAGTAAACTATGCTACATTCTTATTTGAAAATTTCGAGTTTATTTTTCACAATCTGAGGAAAATTCAGAGGGAGTTTCAAGGCGAAATGAATTTTAGCGCTCTGTTAAAAAATAAGTAAAAATAAAACACAAGAGGAAGTTAGGCAGCTTGAACACAGTTGGGTCAATTCTGACGAAAACAAGGAAATTATAGCAACCCTGCCCTGAGTTGAGGTTTCTACTTTTAAACTTTTTTACTCTAAAGTAGTACACAATAATTGTTTTTCGGCTCCTGTATTTTTAGAGTGTACGTACTTAAATTGAAGTAGAACGAGTCTCCTCCTGGAAATTTCGTGTCCCGTTACTTACGGATTTATTTTGATGCTAAATATAGCTCAAAAAGTAGGCCAAAGAGAAGAAATTCGAAACTTGGTCGGCGCCTTCGGGTGGGTATCACTAAGCTTGTGCATAGAATGAAAAAACTTAAGATGGTTCATGGTCTTTTAATTGGGAATTTTTTTATAAAATTTGATCTTAATTTCAATAACGGCAGGCGGCACGCACATGCCGATTTTGACGCACCTCTGCTAAATGGAAGATGCCTCGAAATTCAGTAACGGAGATCTATTTCCCATTAGCATTATCTTGAACGTCAGATCTATATTATGGTTGACTTCATTTCGAGGTTGTTCAGCATGTCCAGCGGTTGAAAGTGTTTGTGAATATCTTCAGTCATTTTTGAAACTCGGCCGTTCTTTTTTTTTTTTATCAAAAACTTGAGGTGATGTATTTAAGTTTTTCTTTGTTATGCTCTTATTCACTGCTAGCCTAATGGATATTTAAAGTATATACACATCGTACTCTTTGTAAAAATAATCTACGAATATTTGAGTGAGAAGGGGTCATTGTTAGCTCCTATTAAGGAATAGAGAAAACTGTTGCAAAAAATACGCACCTCGCGTTCTATTACAATAAAAAATAGATCCTGTTCACCGCCTTTAATAACTTTTATTAATAGCAATAAGAAATTTTTCAGAATGGCATTAAACATAGATTTCCACAGTGAATGATCAGAGTTGAGTGGAAGAATTGTTTCTCAAAAAAGTTGAAATATATGGTTATTTGTTCTCTTTGAAACTTACTGTGCGATCTACCACTGTAAATGTATCGCATTAATATTTTAAACACAATGAGTTTAAAAATATTCAAAACTTATTAGGATAATATTGGGCATTTGATAGTTTATAAAAGGTCTTCATAAAACAGGAATTACACAATGCCACATTAGCAGAAATCTTAAGAAAAAGTAGACTATCACGGTTCATAGTAACTGAAAAGCCCGTGGCTGTGGCTGAATAAGTCACGGGTCTAGATGCTTCACAATACAAAATACACACTTGCTCACTTTATAAATTTTTGAAATTCATCGGGGCAAAATGCCGTCGTTGTTTCATACACCTAATTTGATCGAGAAATAAAAATGAACCTGTTTATCTTTTTTTCCTCGATCGCATCGATGTCCACAGGTTTATGTTATCTGTTTCGATCAATTTTTGTCCATTTTGTTGTTGGTATAAAGCTCGTATTTGTGTGTATCAATACTCAATAGTGACGTGGCCCGTAGCATTTCACGATGATAGCTCGATTGGACCTGGTGGGAGTTCGTGTAGACTACACTCTAAATTGAAGGCGAACTAACATGGTGACTGGCTATAATCTTTCCCCCTTTAAGAAATCTATTTCATTTTCTCTTTTATTATTTCTCTTTTCTTCATCCACTTCCGCTTATATATTCCTGTCTTTCCTAATTTCTTGTATTTTTTCCATCTTATTTTTCTTTCTTTCTTCATGTTCTTCTTTTTCATCATCTTCTCTCCATTTTCGCCTTCCTTCATCTCCTGTTCCTATTACTCTGTTGTTTCCATATTCATTCTCCTTTCTTTCTCGTCCTTCTCTTTTCATCTTCTTCTTTCATTCTTCTTTTTTTATTTCATTTTCTTCCTCTTCTTCTCTTCTTTCGCTAAAAGGGACACAGTTGAGCTGAGCTTTAGCCCCCAACCGATGCCAGGGCAACTTTCCCCGCCTGCAACAGGCCATACAAATACCTTCCGACCAAGCGGGGGAAGCTTCCACCAGCGTTTTAAGGTGAGGGGCCTCGTATCCACAGACGTATGCTTCCCCGTGTTTTCGCTTACAACCCAGTCTTGAAGGGATTGCTTAACCCGCTTTTTCGCTAAAAGGGACACACTTGAGCTGAGCTTTAGCCCCCAACCGATGCCAGGGCGACTTTTTCCGCCTGCAACAGGCCATACAAACACCTTCCGATCGAGCGGGGGAAGCTTCCACCAGCAATGTAAGGTGAGGGGCCTCGTATCCACAGACGTCTGCTTCCCCGTGTTTTTGCTTGCAACCCAGTCTCGAAGGGATTGCTTAACCCGCTTTTTCGCTAAAAGGGACACAGTTGAGCCGAGCGTTAGCCCCCAACCGATGCCAGGGCGACTTTTCCCGCCTGCAACAGGCCATACAAATACCTTCCGACCGAGCGGGGGAAGCTTCCACCAGCAATGTAAGGTGAGGGGCCTCGTATCCACAGACGTCTGCTTCCCCGTGTTTTTGCTTGCAACCCAGTCTCGAAGGGATTGCTTAACCCGCTTTTTCGCTAAAAGGGACACAGTTGAGCCGAGCTTTAGCCCCCAACCGATGCCAGGGCGACTTTTCCCGCCTGCAACAGGCCATACAAATACCTTCCGACCGAGCGGGGGAAGCTTCCACCAGCAATGTAAGGTGAGGGGCCTCGTATCCACAGACGTCTGCTTCCCCGTGTTTTTGCTTGCAACCCAGTCTCGAAGGGATTGCTTAACCCGCTTTTTCGCTAAAAGGGACACAGTTGAGCCGAGCTTTAGCCCCCAACCGATGCCAGGGCGACTTTTCCCGCCTGCAACAGGCCATACAAATACCTTCCGACCGAGCGGGGGAAGCTTCCACCAGCAATGTAAGGTGAGGGGCCTCGTATCCACAGACGTCTGCTTCCCCGTGTTTTTGCTTGCAACCCAGTCTCGAAGGGATTGCTTAACCCGCTTTTTCGCTAAAAGGGACACAGTTGAGCTGAGCTTTAGCCCCCAACCGATGCCAGGGCGACTTTTTCCGCCTGCAACAGGCCATACAAATACCTTCCGACCGAGCGGGGGAAGCTTCCACCAGCAATGTAAGGTGAGGGGCCTCGTATCCACAGACGTCTGCTTCCCCGTGTTTTTGCTTGCAACCCAGTCTCGAAGGGATTGCTTAACCCGCTTTTTCGCTAAAAGGGACACAGTTGAGCTGAGCTTTAGCCCACAACCGATGCCAGGGCGACTTTTCCCGCCTGCAACAGGCCATACAAATACCTTCCGACCGAGCGGGGGAAGCTTCCACCAGCAATGTAAGGTGAGG